AGATGAGGAGGGCTTCTGAGGTGCTGAGAATGTTCTACATCTTGATCTGTGTGCTAGTTACATGGATGTGCTCACGTGGTGAAAACTCGTTTAACTGCACACCTATGACTTGTGAACTTTTCTATATGTATGTTTTACTTCAACAAAAAGTTTATTAAGCTCAAAACAAAGCCAGACAAAAACTAGTTTTAGGCTAGGGCTTATAAACAAGTGTGAACTGAAAGAGCCAGCCAATCCTTCCAACTGAACCCTTTGTTAGGCCTTTCTTGCATTGTTATAAAGAAATACCCAGCATTGGCTGGGCGCTGTGGCTCACGCCTGTAATCCCAGCACTTTGGGAGGCCAAGGCAGGCAGATCACGAGGTCAGGAAATCGAGACCACCCTGGCTGACACAGTGAACCCCCGTCTCTACTAAAACTACAAAAAATTAGCCCAGCGTTGTGGTGGGTGCCTGCAGTTCCAGCTGCTCGAGAGGCTGAGGCAGGAGAATGGCATGAACCCGGGAGGCGGAGCTTGCAGTGAGCCGAGATCGGGCCACTGCACTCCAGCCTGGGCGACAGAGTAAGACTCCGTCTAAAAAAATAAAAAAAATAAAAAATGAAAAAATAAAAATTAAAAAAAGACAGGAGGAAAAAAATACCTGGTACTGCGTAATTTATAAAGAAAACAGGTCTAAATTGGCTCACTGTTCTGCAGGCTCTACAGGAAGCACGGTGCTGGTATCTGCTTGGCTTCTGGGGAGGATTTGAGATACAATCAGAGCAGAAGGCGGAGGCGGAGCAGGCACGCTGCATGGTGAAAGCAGGAGAAAGAGAATGACAGGGGAGGTGTCACTCTTTTCAATGACCATATCTCAGGAGAACTCATTACCACCAAGAAAGCACCAAGCTGTGACGGAGCTGCCCCCACACGCCTCCCACCAGGCCCTACCTCCACCACTGGGGATTACAGTTCAACATGAGATCTGGGCAGGGACACAGATCCAAACTATATCAGATCCCAAGTGGCGAACTGGGCCTAAATTTTAAATAGAGCCAAGAAGCCACTTGCTGCCTAGAGGTCACACATGTACTCTGAATTTCTGAAAATTTCCATCTCTGTTTAATTTTGGAACATTCAGAGCTCATCTGAACCAACCAATCAGGGCTCAGCTTTATCAACCAGTCAGGACCGAGCTGCACCAACAGATCAGAACTAAGCAAATTTGAATCCTTCCGCTGCATAAATGAATCTGACTGGGAACCTGAGTGGCAAGTTTCTCTCTATGGAAGCCAAGTTCCTCATTTGTTCTCTGGAATGCACCATACAAAAGCTACGTGTCAAAGGCCGTGTCTCTCCAGTTTTCGAACTGTTCATTGGAATACAGTCTCGTTCCTCAGATTCCTCTTCAGAGAACTTTTGTTCACAGGCTTAATAGGGTAATGGTGGTCACAAGAACATGCAGACGCTGTGTGGTTAACAATGCATGACCTGAAGGGGGAAGAAGAAAAGAGGAAACAAAAGCAGCTGGGAAGGGTGAGTAAAGTTCGGGGTAATTTACGTTTGAAAAAGGGCCAAACCCTTAAGTCAAAGGCAAGAGTTTATTCTTTTAGCCAGCCCTCCTTTTATCCCTTGCCAGCAGCCTGGAAAGTTCCGGACTCTCAGGAATAAGTTCCATGTGTCTTTGCATCGCCCAGCTCCCTCCTTGGTATCCACACAGTAGCAAGAGCTTCCTAAACAGCCTTAGAGTCTTGTTCTTGAGAACTCACACATGATAGATGAAACAAAAGAAAATACAGATCTGATCCTAACTGAATAGTTCACAAGGTCGTTTAAAATCAGACTTCTTTCAGAGGGAGGGCTGCAGGAAGGTTGTTGTATTGGAAGGTTTCAGTTTCATCTGGCTTATCCAAAAAGGAAAGCCTTCGCTGCCACACAGGGCTAGGCTTGCAGGCCCTAGAACCCTGAGCACCACTCCTGAGACATGAATAGCACTGAAGGCCCCAGAACAGGCAGCCAAAGGACTCGGGGGCCTCCCCCTGATGCAAGGATTTCAGAGTTAAACGTATAGGTATATAAGAGTGGGGCATTTAAAAGAGCCTGCTTCCCAATGAGCTGAAAATAAATGGTGATGTTATCCTATCGGAGGCTGTTGCCTGGAAGTGATAACCTGTGTTCCTGATCACTGAGGGGATGGTGTCCTCATTCCTACCCACTTGTCATGCCTCCCAAAGGTCTGTATGACATTGACCTGAAACCACCTTTGCAAAATTATGACAGCAAGAGAAATATGACATAGGTGACTCCATCTTTCTTCTAACCTCCAGTTTCTCCTTGGTCATTCCTGGGTATAGACCAAGCTGAATTTGGGACAAATTTAGTTTATAGTTTAACCTTAAAGCAAGGATGATAATAACCCTTCCTAAAACAAAAGCACATTTTTAAAGCTAAAGAAAGGTTAGGATTTTTAGAGGGGCTTGAATTTGCCTAAGGTGTTGGCATAGTTACTCCTTACTGTGCAGGAGTCGTGTGGCCAAAGATCACGAGATTTGTGACTTCCCCAATTACTCCTATAGATAACATCACTATTATAGAATCTAAGACTTTTTTTGAGATATCTTTCAGACTAACCCCACCCAGACTTCTGACCCAACCCATCCTGTGGCCTCACCCAGAGGTGGACTCAGAACTGAGGACCGTTTTCCAAAACCTTATGACTTCTTCCCCAACCAGTCAACATTTGCCATTCCCGTGTGCCCTGCCCACCAAACTATCCTTGAAACTCCTAATCTCCAAAACTTTGGAGTGATTGATTTGAGTAATAGCTCTGTCTCCCACCTGGCGTGGCCAGTCTCACATCAATTAAACTTTCTTTACTTCAGTGCCATAGTCTCAGTGGATTGATTTTGTCTGTGTAGTGGGCAGGAAGAACTCGTCGGCAATTACAGACCTTCCAACCTGAAAGATGAGGGCACAGCCTTCTGGGGCTGATAGAAACGTCTTACTCTTCCCCATCTGTTATGAGCTGAATTTTCTCTCCCCCACCACCAAATTCATGTTGAAATCCTAACCTCCAGGACCTCAGAATGTGACTGTATTTAGAGACATGGCCTTTAAAGAGGTCATTAAGGGAAGCTGAGGTCATGTAGGTGGGCCCTGATCCAATCTGACTGGAGACCTTAAAAGATGAGGAAATTTGGACAAACAAAAAGATACCAGGGACACTCATGCACGCAGGAAAGGCCATGAGAGGACAAAGAGAGGAGATGGCCATCTGCATCCCAGGGAGCAAGGGTGCAGAAGAAGCAAACTCCGCCAACACCTTGATCTTGAAATTCCAGCCTCCAGAACTGTGAGATAATCAATTTCTCCTGTTTAAGTCACTCAGTCTATGGTATTCGGGTTTTTTGGTTTGTTTTTGTTTTTTGGTGTATTTGTTTGTTTTGAGACAGAGTCTTGCTCTGTGACTCAGGCTGGAGTGCAGTGGCACAATCACGGCTCACTGCAACCTCTGCCTCCCGGGTTTGAGTGATTCTCCTGCCTCAGCCTCCCAAGTAGTTGGGATTACAGGCATCTGCCACTACGCCCAGCTAATATTTGTATTTTTGGTACAGTGGGGTTTTGCCATGTTGCCCAGGCTGGTCTTGAACTCCCAGTTTCAAGGCATCCACCAACCTTGGCCTCCCAGAGTGCTGGGATTATAGGCGTGAGCCACCACACCCTGCCCAGTCTGTGGCATTTGTTATGACAGCCCGATCTAACCAACATGCACCTTCCCAGCCTTCGTTTCTCGTGGGCATGATGCCTCCTCTTGGCCTGCTGCTAATTCCATCCTAATGCCAGACTAACAAGGCTCTGCTCACCCAGCTCTGAGCCTTACCCCAGCGCTGGCTTTGCTCTGCTCTTCTGATCCTCTGACCTCCTTCTAGTCTTTCCCCAGGGCACCTCCACATCTGGCTACTCCTGGCTCTCTTGTTCTTCTTCTTCTTCTATTTTTTTAGACAGAGTCTTGCTCTGTCGCCCAAGCTGGAGTGCTGTGGCGCGATCTCAGCTCACTGCGAGCCACAGGCGCCCGCCACCACGCCTGGCTAATTTTTTGTGTTTTTAGTAGAGACGGAGTTTCACCGTGTTAGCCAGGATGGTCTTGATCTCTTGACCTCGTGATCCACCCCACTCGGACTCCCAAAGTGCTGGGATTACAGGGCTGAGCCACCACGCCCGACCATGGCTCTTACTCTTCTTTTAACCTCAACCCAGACCAGCAGCTCACCAAGCCACCAAGACTCACAGTCCCTCCTGTATGTAGCCCTTGTCTGACAGACCATGTGGTATTGGACACTTGTGGGGTCAGAGAAAGCAGGAGGAAGTTTGAAGAATTTCAGAGGATGGCAAGAGACGGAGGTCCTTCTCCTTTCTCTCTCACCACCCCCTCCAAGAACTTCCCACAGGTTGATAAATATTGCTGTGGTCCAAAACAGAAGGTGCAATTTGGCTCTATTCTCAGATTTTCCTCCTGTGGGTTAGTAAAACAGATGGAGGGCTGTCCAAGTCGAGGAGAAAGCCAGACTCATTCAGAGTGATCTTTTCAATGCTCAAAAACCTGGCACAGGCCTGTCTTTACTAATTCTCACCCTGAGAGCCAGGAGACCAAAGGACTCATTGGGATAGTGGCCATGTGAGCGTGGGGATGTTAAACCAACAACTCCCCAAGGCTGAGGCAGGTTTAGGGTCTGCTTTGTGCACAGAGACCCTATTAATATCTTATGACTCACTTGGGATTATTTGGGTGGAATTGTTTGAAGAGGAGAAAAATTCTCATTGCTTCCTATTAAGATGCCACCAGATGATCCCCTGGCTGAGTTCTTTGGCACCTTTCTCACAATAATGAAAAAATTATATATATACCTCATTTCCTTTTTAAAGACCCTGGATATTGGGATGCCAAGGTTCAGATTGAACTGCATGCTAAATCTCAAAATTTTCAGTTTAATCTGCATGAAGACAAACAGTTTGGACTCACCTCAATGCACATCTGATCCAAGGAGGTGATGACTTTACAGCCGGCAGAAAACAGCACCACCCAAAAGAAGCAGCTGACGTCAAACGCCATCACAGGACTGGTGCAATCCCAGCGTGGTGGGTTTACCCAACGCTTGGAGCTGAGAAATGGAATCAAACTATGAAGGCCCTGGCAATTTGGCAGCCAAAGAGGTACTCAGAAGGGTGATCTTGGAACAAGAAATGCTGTTGACTGCTCAGCATTCTGTGGCTCTGTGCTGAAAAAAAAAAGGAAGTCCCTTTTGCATACCACCCATCTTTGCCAAAAATAACTGAGGACCCAGCCCCAGAATGGCCCATTGCATTTCCTGGCACTGCACATGAATCAGTTGTGCAGTCCTTTTGGGCTGATCACACAGACTTTCGTTGTGATGGTTCCAATTGACTTTATGCCAACTTCAAGTATTTGGCCAACTCCAACAGCTTCTGGTCCTTTTCCCCGAGAGAGGCTGTGGAAGCTCTACTCACCAAGGAGGCCACTTTCTCAGTTGTCCTAGGTGAGTGAATAGAAGAGGTGTCAGAGAACATGGAAAGGCAGAGCACTCTGTGGGGGCAGGTTGAAGAAATGAGTCCTTCAGTGGCACCTGCTGAGCTGGGAACTGGAGCAGGAGGGAGCAGGCTTGAGAGTATATCTGTTCCTTGAGCCTCAGCTGCTGCCTTGGCCACCTCGTCCATTCCCACCTCTGGTCTTCATATAGGAGGAAGATTACTTCATCTCTTGACCTGGCGGTTCAGACTTGTTGAAGCAGTTGGGGTGAACTCCTCTCTTGTTCCCTCCTAACCTGGTCTGGGGAAGTAGGGGACACTGCCATAGATAGAGCAGCCTGGCTAAAGGAGGGCAGAGTTAGGGATGCCAGCCTTGGCACTATTCTTAGAAATATCTTTGAAGCAGGATTGCAATTACTCTTATTATGGAGCAAGATGTGGCAATGATTAAAGAAAGCCAAAGTTCAAACATTCCTCAATAGGCTGCATTTAGTTACCTGTTCTGTCTGTTCTTCAGCCCTCTGGTATGCAGGATATATTTGGTGTTGCTGTTCTCCCACTCCATTTCCAAGAGCCCAGTTCTTAGTATCAGAGTTCACAATGACTTTACTACTACTACTACTACTACTACTACTACTACTACTATTACTACCACCACCACCACCTCTACTGTATTACTATGATGAAGCAAATGACTATAGTATCTGCCACTTATTGAGCCCTTACTGTGTGTCATATACTGGGTCAGGTTTAATTTTTTGTTGTTGTTGTTGCTGCATTTTCCTATCCTTGACTGTTTCCACATGTTCTATAAAAGAGATGTTATTGTTTCCCTCATTTTATAGATATAGAAACTGATGCTTAAGAGAAATTAAATGATCTCTCCAAGTCACACAATTAGAGAGTGGTGGATTAGGGCTTCAGATCCAGAAAATCTCACTGCAGAGATTGTGCTACCACTCTTCATGGTTTAAGAAAGGACTTTGCCTCCTGAAGGAGCTGAAGAGTAGATGAGGTGAAGAATGTTGTTCATCTGGAGATTTCAGAGAAGATGCTAAAAAGCAGAGGGGATTGGAGGAAATATGTACTTGGCACTCTGCTAGGCCTGCTACGCATATTTGGGCTTTCCCTGGTCACCCTTAAAATGCCATCTTCATCAACAAAATCTCTGAAGATGCTATCAGCAAGACACAGTCTTAAGCAAACCCAGACCAATGACAGACCACTTTGCTTCAAATAAGACATCCATCAGTGTGCAATGGGAAGAGCTGAGGACTGGGAAGGGTCTAGTGCTAGACCACAGATCCTTGCTTACCAACTGAGTGACCTTGGGCAAGTCATTTCACTTCTCTAAGTCTGTTTTCCCATCTGAAAAACAAGAATTATAATTCCTGTTCTGCTTACATCACAGGGTAATTATGAGGATCAAATAGGATCATGTATGTGAAAATGCTTTCCTTACCTTAAAGTCCCACATAAACATGCAGAATGTGAGGCAAAGATTGAGTAACGAATTCTGATGTCATGTAAATATCACTCTCAGGAAATTATCTCCTGCCCCTGAGATGTTGAAAGGCATATTACTTTCCTTCTTAAAGAAAGGTCTGGTGGCTCAGTTAAGGCCATCAGATTTTGTCATTTTCTGAGGCTATATCATTTGCATATGATTTGCATGTGTTTGCATAATGAATTCAAAAGACTCACTGCAAGTATATAAGAGTAAAATAAAATGAATGAATATGAGTGACCTTCTGCCACAGCATTCAAATCACATATTCAGGGCATACTACCCTGAAATATGAAATAGATTAAAATTTAAACTATTGCAAACAGATGAGAAGATAGGTTTTAGAGTTTAGAGGCAAGAATGAAACTCTTATTTGGATATATCCAGAATTTGGATATAAAGAATCACATTCTCTTACAGGTCACCCCATCCAAATGATTTTCATGCCTGAATTCTCTCCTATACACCCCTTAAATCACCCCTCTCTGTAGACAAAAACATACTCTCTGAATTATTTTTCAGTCTATTCTGAAATGCTTCAGGTGACAGAAAACTCATTGTCCCTCACCCCCCAATGGTTTTGGCCAATTTTGACTGTTTAAAAGGTTTTATCTTATATTGAACTGTTAAAGTCTCCTTTGGCCAACAGAGTAAGTTCAAGGCCTTTTCTACCTTCAAGTATTTGAAAATAGCTACCATGTCCCTGAATCTTTCCCTTTCTAGGTTAAAAATCTCTAGTTCCTCAAACTATGTAATAAATTCATGTATTACAACCCCTAGCAGGCTGTTTATCTAAATGTTTTCCCAATTGCCCAAGAAAAGCACTGACTTGAATTTTAATCCTAGCTTTGCCACTCACTGGTTGTGTGTCACTGGGACAGTCTCTCAGTCTCAATTTACTTATCTGCAAAATGATGGAGTTGAACTAGCTTATCAACAAGGTACTTTTTTATTTAAAACTCCATTACTCTATTTCAAAACTATGATTTCCAATTTAGTTTTGTAACAGAGTTTTTGGCTTGAGCCAATAATATTGAGTTACACTTAATTTTTGTTAATAATCTGCTCTTTCTTTTTTCCAAGTAGTCTCACATCTTCTTGGCAAACAAAAATTACAGAGAGAAGTTTGGCTGGGTGATGGACACCGTGATTTCTGCAATCCCAGTTGACTCACAATGCCATTAAGGGATTAAACTGCCATCACCCATGCTGAGAAACAGTTCTTGCAGAGATATGAAGAGGGAGAAGAGAACATGAGAAAAGGCACCAGAAATGTGCCTTTTATTTCTACTGATCAGCATCCATGTCAGTGAGGAAACAACAGACTGTGGACCCCAGAAATTTTCAAAAGTTCAAGCATCCTTATATTAGGTATTAACGTATATTACATACAAATCCCAAAACATTGTTTTTGTTGTTGTGCTATCTTTTATTCTACTACATTTGCATGCAGTTCATCCCCTGTGGTCAGCTGTCTCCCTATGGGTGACCCCATAGAACTACCCAATTTCCTGTCTGGTAAGGCCCATACATTCCCTTCCTTTTTGCCATGTATTTATAATCTGGGAGTGATTTGGGATTCTAGGATACCTTATTTGGCTCTTCAAGCTCTTTCCTGGTGATAACTCAAAGGCTAATGTACTTTCTTTTTTTTTTTTTTTTGAGACGGAGTCTCGTTCTGTCACCTAGGCTGGAGTGCAGTGGTGCGATCTTGGCTCACTGCAAGCTCCGCCTCCCGGGTTCATGCCATTCTCCTGCCTCAGCATCCCCAGCAGCTGGGACTACAGGCACACGGCGCCAAGCCTGGCTAATTTTCTGTATTTTTAGTAGAGATGGGGTTTTACCATTCACAGCATGGTCTTGATCTCCTGACCTTGTGATCCACCCGCCTCGGCCTCCCAAAGTGCTGGGATTACAGGCGTGAGCCCCTGCGCCCAGCCAACTAATGTACTTTCTTTCAAGGACGTGCAAACCAGAATATGTTTTTGTGATCTAAGTTTAGCAAAAAGCTAGATGTTTTTAAAATAATTTCATTAGGGAATTAAAACAATAATTTATATTATATCTTATGGGCACCAGTTGGTAGTAAAATGACCTATATTTTTCCCCTCTGTACGTTTAGTTGTAGTTCTGCTTTTTGTTCAAGCCTACTTTAGTACATTCCTGCCTCCAGATGGTTAAGTTTATTTGCATCTAAAATTTAACGTGAATATTTTAAATATTGTATGGCCAATTTTACTCTTTATTGTTATATTTCCCAATGTATGTTTGTTTATTTTATTTTATTATTGTTATTTTTTCAGATGAAGTCTTGCTCTGTCACCCCGGCTGGAGTGCATTTGTTCAATCTCAGCTCACTGAAACCTTGCCTCCCAGGTTCAAGTGATTCTCCTGCCTCAGCCTCCTGAGTAGCTGGGATTACAGGTGTGTGCCACCATGCCCAGCTAATTTTTGTATTTTTAGTACAGATGGGGTTTCACTATGTTGGCCAGGCTGGTCTTGAACTTCTGACCTCAGGTGATCCACCTGCCCAAGCCTCCCAAAATGCTGGGATTACAGGTGTGAGCCACCATGTCCGTCCTGTTTTTTTTAATCAAATTATTATAGCCCAAGGTTCAGAGCCATAAGGGCCCAAAGTCAAGCCCATCTCTCTCTGAGGGTTATTGTTGTGTGCTTCATGAGTGCACCAGAACAAAGCCATCTGTTCCTCTACTCTTGCCTTCTTGTCATGCTGCTTATGCTTCTGTCTTTGTGGTTAATGATACTTGTGAGGCCACCAAGCTAGACAGAGCAAGTGATGGTGATGCTCCTCTCACACCTTGAGAGGAAACAGGGCTCTCCTCATGTCTAGCTTGAATTTATAGGGGAAGAAAGACTTTTCCTCTACCCTCTTTGGTTCTCAGACTGGAGCCTGTGAAGTGAACTGACAAAAGACAGATTAACAGGAGAAAAAGCATAATAATTTTATTTGATGTTAATATTTTTATGTGGCACAAGGGCTTCCTAGAAAGACAGGAAGATCCCAAAGAGGCGGTTAGACCCAGAGGATTACATACCATTTTAACAAAGAGCAATCAATTGTGGAGATGTCACAAGAAAAGGAAAAAGGGATTTGAGCTAGGAGCAGTAAATTGTGGGAAAGTGACTGGGAAATATATGGGGAAATTAATGAAAGGTAAGGGTTAAGTAAGGTCTGTTTTGACTCCTTGTCTCCAGTGATAAGAATA